ATTTAGCCTTGATGAGGAGATGCTAATGAAACAGAGCAGAGCCCAGTGTTGCCGGTAGCTCTGTAGAAACACTAAGGTCTTACGCAGAATTCCTTCCTGCTCCTTTTTGCTGTGATCCCAAGAAAAGGTGAATTATGGGGAAATAGAAGTACTCATCAGGCTGGAATGGGATGGCGTGAAAACAAGACTGTAGTGTTGAAGTCAAAAGTAACTAATTAACAGAGGTCTGAAGCAAGACTTGGTAATGTTAGCTGTCAGGTACCAAGGAAATGTAGACATTCAGCCAAGGACAAGTTGGGAGGAGAACGAGAATGAAGTCAAAGAAGTGAAAAGAAGGAGAAATGTTAGGCATGACATTCAGCTTGTCTAGCCCCATGAGACATTGTCACACTGACACTCACACACTTCCACAGCAGCACCATTAGAGCCGTGGGCCATTTGTCAAGTTGTAATGCATCAAACGAGGTAAGTCCAGGAAATGATTTCATTTTTAAATTAACATGACCAGAGTCTAATCCAGCTACTATCATTGAAAAGGCAAGTGGATTTTTTCCCTTCCTGTTTGACATCAACCTTATTATTAAGTCTTTTATTCTCATCAGACATCCCCTATGCTTTTTTCACACTTCCTCCCTTCTGTGGCCAGGTATGCTCCACCTCTGTGCTGAAGATAGCGGTAAAGAATCCTGAAGCTTCTGTAAATAGTGCTGATGTGGCTTTAGCTGGTGCCAGCCACAGATCAGCACCAGGAGGTTTTAGATAACAACTAAACTTAGTCATACATATTAAGTTAAACACATTTCACTGTAAAATTGGGTTGTCGGTAATTGAAAGAGTAGCTTGAGATGTTTTTAGAGCTGAGTGCAATTCCCTGTTAGCATTGTTAGCTCAATGTTAGCATCTTGCCGTCTTCAGCTTAGAGTAAAACAAAAATAGTTTGTGCTTCTTAGAGATACAGGAAATTACTTGTATTGGCTTAGGTTCCTTACAAAACACAGCTGCATTTGGCCGACCAGAGTCGAATTACAAAAGCCTTAAAATGATGTGAGAATGACACCAACTGATTCTGGCTGATGTAGCAGTTTAGACGCCGCGTGTTTTCATGAATTCAAACTACTACCTAGCTTACGTCGCTCTGAATGTGTAGAAAGCAAAAGGTTTGCTGCAAGAAGTGTGTGTGTGCGTGTGTGTGTGTGTCCATCAATGCGTGAGTGACTTTCTTGGTGCCTGAAGATGTTTGGATGGGAAGCACAGGGCTCAAAGGCCAGCCCTCAATATTTTCCTGTTCCATTTAACCAGCCCAGCAGCCTGCAGCACTCTTCCGCTCTTATCTGAGCAGAAAAGAGAGAGACAGGTTTTTACCGAGTGAGACAACAAGACAGAGAGAGGGTGGACAGCTATTAGGAAGAACGTTAACATGAGGAACAATTGAATCAAGAAGGAGCTCCATCTTCTGTCTTCTCACACAGCATATCATTTAAATATATTCACTGGGACGGATTGATCACTTCTGTGGTTGTGCTCTGTGATCTGGCTCACAACCATCAGTGAAACAAGACCATGACGACATATCATTCAGTCACCAACGTCTTTAATAATGTATAAAAAACAAAAGAAAAACGTGTTGGCAGCATTACCAACTTTTCATGTTCAAGGCAGCCATGTTGGATTTCACAGTCAAGGCTATCAGGAATCTCTGAATTGGATTCCAGCTTTGAGAACCGTTCCAACCTTTCCAAATTGTCCAGCTTCCATAAAGATAAATGTGCTCCTTCACCCTTGTTGCTTCTAGGGGCTGCATGACTTAAATTTTTTTTAAAGTCGACAGTCAAGTAATGAAATTCGAGTCGACTTAGACCAGTCGTTGATGACGTCATACACCTGAAGCGGCGCGGGGGTGGTGGGGTGGTTGGGGGTTGTGGGGGGTTCGATGGAGTTTTTGACCACTAAAATTGCGCCCACATTTTCAAAGTTAAACACATCTCTTTTAACAACGGTAGTTTCTGCATCTATACTGCCTCGCTTCAGCCCTCTCCCCCCTCCCCCTGCTTCAGCCCTCTCCCCCCTCCCCCTGCGCAGCGGCCGCAAACTCACTGATGCGCCTGCAGCCTCTCGGAGTTCCTGCTGCTCTAAACATTAAAATAATTATTTCATTTTCTGTTCCTCACTTCTGATTACCTTCAGTGGTGTCTGTTTGTTGCAACCAGCAGGTACAAAAACTAACTTGTTTTTATTTGACTATTTTTCTGTCCTGCCTGTTTATTATCTTCCTGCATCTCCTCTCAATCCTAAAGAGAAACTGCTACCTGGGTTCATATATATTCACCTCATGAGTTACCTTTGAACTGCAGTTCTAAAAGATCTACCGACCGCAAAAACATCGGAGCGCTCGCCGGCCGCATCAGTTAGGTGCGTCACCGAGGACAAAACAGGTGATGCGCCCCGATCCACAGCAGCGAAACGCATCAGGCACAAATAAAAGAATAAAAGACAGAAAACATAAAAGGAAATGAGCCGACATGAACGATCGCGTGTTAAATTAGTTTTTGAGGTGGCGACACCTGATTTGATAATGTTACTGTGGCCGTGCTCAGGACGCAGATGTCTGGAGCGCGTCAACAATCAGAGCTTTGCATGTGCAAGCTGGTTAAGGTCAGGATGGGGGTGAGGGGAAGGTTAAATTGCAAGAGGGTAAAGGTCACAATTTGGTTAAATGTCCGTTTTACGGCGGGTGTCAGTACCGACGATCTGGCACAGCGCGTTGCCTCCCGACGCGCAGGAGCTCGTCACCTGCTGACAGCAGGTTGCTGTCTTTGCTGCATCTTGCCGGTCATTATCACGTGACAGCGACTAGTCGATGACAGGCATAACAAGTCACTATAGAGCGGTGAAGTCAACTAGTGACTAGTTCATACAACCCCTGGTTGCTTTAAAGGTTTCTGCTGTTCTTCTCTCATACCTTACACACCAATTGAACCCTTTAGGTTTTTAGACTTGAATGTCAAAAATAGTAATATAGAAAAACGACTGTGAGTTACTCTCTCTGCATCAGAATTCTAATGAAATAACTTTTGTTCAGAAGGGTTAGGGTTACTACGTTTACTTCTGTGTGAAGAACACTGTCCCAACATGGAGAGTGAGAGGTTTCTGGAATATTGAGCGCTGGCTGACTCCTGAACTCAAATCCCTTAAGGATGATAAAAAGAAAGTTTTTATCTCTGTTGACAAATTGGAGCAGAGACAAGTCAAGCAGGAGCTCACACACAAGATCAGACGGGCTAAAGACAGCTACAGGAAGAAGTTGGAGGAACAACTGCGGCAGAGCAATACTCGAGGTGCATGGAGAGGTATTAGAAACATCCCTGGACACAGCGGGAGGAGGGGTGCCAGTGAGACGGTCGAGAGGGATCAGAACTTGACCAATGAGCTTAATCTGTTCTTCAACAGGTTTGATTCCAACCACCCCACACAACAAGCACCACCATCACATTCCCTCACACGTCTCTGGACCTTCTCCCCCACCAGAAACAATCTGACAGTCTGCATCACTGATTACATTAACTTCTGTTTGGACGCAGTTGTCATTAAAAAACTGTTTGTTGCTTCCCCAACAATAAACCAAAGACATCAAAACCACAGACAAGGGTGGCTATCTCAAATGGAAAGCATAGTCACGGGTACAGAGAGAGCTGAAATCTAAGATTGCAGAGGGAAGATATTCTTATAGGACGAATCCGGAGAGCAAACTCCAAGAAAACAACTCCAGGGAGGGATGGAATGGAATGAGGATCATTAGTGGCCTGAAACAAAAAAGAAGTGTTGAAATGAAGGGAGACGTGGACTTTTCAAACATCATCCTATGCTTATCTCTGCTGCCCCCACAGCTTGTCTCTCTAAGCATCAGAAAGGAGCTGTCTAAACCCCATCCAAGTAAAGCTGCGGGGCCCAAGGACATCAACTCCAGGGTCCTCAAGTGCTGTGCTCCCCAGCTGTGTAGAGCTTTACATTACGTCTTCAACATGAGCCTGGAACTGCAGAAGGTCCCACTCTGGGAGACATCCTGTCCCCAAACACGTCCACCCATCAAACCCTATCAAACAGGTCGGTGGCTCTGGCTTTGCACATCATGAAGGCACTGGAGAGACTCATCATGAAGCATCTGAGTTCATTGGTGGAGTCTTGGCTAGATCCCCTACAGTTTGCTTAGCAGCCACATCGGTGTGGAGAATGCCCTCATTCACCTGCTGGACCAGGCTAATTCTCATTTGGACACACTGGGAACTCTGTGAGGGTTTTTTTATTTCTCCAGTGCTTTCCACACAATCAGACCATCACTGCTGGGGAGTAAACGTGCAGAAATGCAGGTGGATGACCCATTGGTTGCATGGATCATGGACTACTTGACCAACAGACCACAGCATGTCTGGCTGAAGGCCTGCCGCTCATTTCTGAGCAGCACAGGGGCACCGCAGGGAGGGACCTGTCCTATCTGACTGCAGGTACAGAACTCAGTCTTGCCATCTGCAAACACTCTTTGGTGACTCTGCCATTGTGTCCTTTATCAGAGACGGTCAAGAGGATGAAGACAGGAGTGTGGTGAGCTGAACCGTCTACAAGCCACAAGGTCGTCCAGAAGACAGGACTTTCTAACTTTAATAAAAGAATCTTAAGTTGTCTAATACAATCATTTCATCAATTTACAGGTTAATTACATTCTTATTTTAGTTTTTCTAATGAATTCTTTGTCTAAAGTGATTTTAAAGGAGACATAACATGAAAAACCCACTTTTTTATCCATTAACACGGTGTGTTTCACATTTTAAGTGTCTAAGTGAGCAAAAAGGCTTATATTATTCACTGGAGTTGCTATTTAGATATTTAATAATTAAGTTTTGGGCATATTTGTCCACCCATTCAGTTTTTACATTATCTATGACATCAGTAATTAATTTAGTGAGGATAACTACCAAATATGGCAATGGCCCTCGGCTAAACACAGAGCCAATCCGCCATTTTTTCTTCTCGCTAAGATTTTTTGTAGTCCTATTGGAAAAATGCAGAATGTCTGGTTATTTTAGCCACACACAGCTCAAAACTGTTCCTCGTTTTAAGGAAGGGTGGTGTGGCAGTATTTAAACCCAGGAGCTGATGACACTACTGCTAAAAAAACACAGAAGAAAAAGTAGTGTGTTTGCGTTTGTTTGTGTGTGTGTGTGTGCGTGCGTGCGCGCGCGCGCGTGGTTCGTTCGTTCTGTCTCCAGGCTAGTGGCTAAGTACTGAGGGCTTCATCTATCTAAAAGGAGTTATTTCCATCTGAATTTGGCAGCACCGGGACACAGCAGCAGAGCGGTAAGCTTCATATCACTCTAAAATGTCGACAAACTTTACTTTAGATTTACGGGCATTAGCAGCACTAAAGCGTTAGCATCCGGCTTGCTATCGCTAGCACAGTATGCTAGTAAAGTTAGCACCCAGATTAATGTGGATTTGGCTGATTTTCGTGGAATAAAACGTGATTTCTGATCAACGCCTTCTTTTACACCAGATGATAACCTCCCACTGATTGTAACAGCAGAGAGCCTGTGTGTTATTCTACATGAGTGTGATGTAATCTTAGCATCCAGTAAATAAAGTCCCATATCAGCTAAAATGCAGCGTGACAAAGTCATTAAAGTGCGTCAACACAGTGGATTTAATAGAGTTTTAAAGAACGATCTCTAAGTGAAGTGAGGTTAGTTTTTTGTCTCACTGCAGATATAAAAACTAACTCTGCATCAGTCAGACGCAGCAAAGCTCACCGTCTGTATGAGCGTGAGCGTCGGAAAGCTGATAAAATTGGCTGTAAAATAATTAAAACAAAGTAGAAATGTTCCTTTGCTTTTTAGAGTCCACATCCAGAAGTCTGGAGCCGTGTTTCACTGACAGGCTGTCAGCCTAACGCCCTGATGAGCTCAGCTGGGACAAACTGGTCTGATGTTTAGGTAAGTGAAGATCTGCTTCTCCAAGGCCTTGAGATGCTAGTAAAAAATAATTTAGCCAGCTTGCTAATGTTACTTTTCTTCTCCTCTAAGGAACACAGAACGCTCAGATGTTGGAGCTCACGTCACCTACTGAGGAAGGAGACCCACCAGTAAAGAGACGGTCTGGACCAGACCAAAGTGAGTGATGACACACCTCAGCCACCCTCATCATTAAGAACACCTCACCCCCTGAATCACTCCGTCTGATGACAGCAGAGTGATTTATTTGATGTTTTACTGCTTTAGTCTGTTTAGAAATTATTGAATTACATTATTTTCTGTAATCGACCATCTGATCTGGACATGTACAGAATAACTTTCCCCAAGTTCAGCAACAGCTAGCCTACAAAAACAGCTGCAGCATGTAGTAAGTCTGTCTGCACTGCTCTCTAATGAGCTTCCTTTCATAAGGAATCATTTGTATAATTTTAGTGTCACTATTTTATTACATTTGTAGGAAAATATGAAGTCACCGCAGCAAAGTGAACTTGTGAACAAACACAAACGTGACTATAAACATGAAAGCTAAAGAAACAACTTTCCTAAAGCTGCTTGTAAACAAAATATGTCATTAAAGTTATTGTCTATCATTGCAGAATATGGCGATGACATCATGGAACTGGTCTTTGGAAAAGTTTTCCCTGAACCAACTCCGTTTCTAGATGAGGTAGAGAAGATCTGCATCTCACCAACTCTCTGGTCTCAGTATTCAGACAACGGAGGTCTCCCACTGTTATCCAGGACCAGTTTGAAGCCCACATACTGCCCCTCCCTCATCATCAGGAAACATCAATCCGTATCCTGAGGACAACAGAAGACGGCAGGAGGACAGGAACTCTGAGACCTAGACACCACCAGCACCGAGACACAAAGCACCTGTGTGCACAACGCCTGTTTTAACTACTAAAGCCTGTTTATTATATTGTTCTACTTATTTGCTGTGAGGTTAATACTTAGAAAATTTGTATATTAATGTAAACAATTTAAAAAAAATCACTGATTGTATGTTTTCTTTTAGATGTAATGGTCCAAACTCAGCCTTGTAGACATTTATTGCATCCTGTAGGTAAATACACAGAACAGGCTCAGGTCCAGGATGACCCAGCATGCTCTTCTTCCATTCTGGCTGTTAGGGATTGTATCAATAACTCAATGCCTACTGATGTTTCCACCTAATGGTGTTTATTTAGAATGCAGGTAAGATTTAACTATATTTGTTAGCAAAGCAGACTGATCTTGGGAATTTCACTGCAGCACTGATGTCCACCTCTCTGTACACATTAGAGAGAATTACCACTTTACAGCTAAACACATTTAATAAAGATATAGGCTACGCATTGCAGACAATAAAAACAAAGTTGTAAGCATTAGAATTATAATGATGACATTAAAGAACATTTGGAGTAATGTTCTTTATTTTTGACTAGAATCTCAAATCTTTAAATTAAAATGTAACTGCTTTTTATCCATTTTCAGCCATTAAGACACCCAATATAAAATAAGACTACTTATAAAATTATTTATAATTATATGTATGTATATAGATAGAGATCTTAATAAAATATATTCTTTGAATGGTGTTTTAATGAGCTGTATCATTTTTTTAAACATTTTTTACAGAAATAAGCAAGCAGCATTCCTTGTGTGTGTGTGTGTGTGTGTGTGCGTGCGCGCGTGTGCCTGCTCGCTTGTCCCTCCGTCGGCCGTGACGGGTGTGTGTGAGTGACTACAGACAAATGCATGAGAGAGTTAGCAGCCATGAAACAGCTTGATGAACTACTCTCCCCACGTGTTTTAAAAATGCTAATATGCTATGCTAAATAATGATTTCTCTATAGAACTACAAAGTCCGACTGGGGGAGGAGAGTACAGGACTGCACTATGGAGGGGGGCGGAGTTTACAGCTCCTCCTCCAGTTTAAAGAGACAGTACCCCAAAACGGCTCGTTCTCAAGACTCTCCTCAGAACAGGGGTAGATGAGGGTCTGTAGAGCAACAATAATGAGGAAATCAGACCAAAGAACTGCAGTTCCACTGTTTTTAGACCCCCAACTGAAGGATTTAGATGTAAAAAGGAATAACTTAAAAGCATGTTATGTCTCCTTTAAGACTTAAATACTTGACAGTAATGAATGAATCAACATAACTGTTTATTCTTAAAATGCATTATTTCAGATCTTAGATACACCAAATGAGGCTACATGTGTAATTATTTGTTATTAGATTCATTAATACAGTATATTAACAAATGAATGTTATATCATATTTACTTCACATATTAAGTGAAATAAACCTTTTTCAGTTTCTTGGATAAAGGTGTGACATCTGAGGACTCATGTTACTGTCCCTTACACTCTCCGTCTTCTGATTGGTCCAAAACTCCCCAAAAACAAACCCTTAAAAGAGGATATATTTCTTCTATTTGTCAGTTCCAGCTTTTGCTCAATTAACATCTTTTGGGGGATCAAGCCAGATCTTTCAATGGAAGACTTTTAGCTGCAAGAACCATCCTTTTTCAGAACCAAGCAACTTTATTTGCTTAACCTGCAAAACTGCATCAGATGCAAAACAACTGCCAGCTTCCACCAGACCTCAGGGGAGTATCTCTTGACCAGCTGATTCATGTTTCAAAGGCAGCTACGACCTCTGAGGACCAGAAGTCAAACTCCAGTCGAGCCAACTTCGCCAGACAGTAGGATCACTGAGAACCCCCGTCACAAGGGTACAGTAGCTCTGCTCGCTGGCGTTGGATGGCTAAGAAAAATGTTATAAACCCAGACATCACATTCTTTGTAATATACTTAGACTATAAAATGTATTTATTACTATATTTCTGCGAGTAATTATCACACAGGATGAATGATTATAAATGAGTAAGCTAATAGCATTGCTGCAATAATCAAACTTTAATGAAAGGTGATCTTAGATGTTATAAAAAAACTATATTTTTGTCCCTGTGTCAAATTACTGATGAGTGTTGTTTCCCCGACATGCCAAAATTGCCTATTTTCATCGTCAATCGAAAATTAAAGGTTTAATATTATTGATCATCCATATTTTTATGGAATATTACATTTTATTGAATACCTTTATATTCTATTGACAATTTATTAAAATTAACCCCTTACAACACATTACAGCTCTCTATCGGAGCTTCAAACCGATAGACCTCTGTGATTGGTCCACAATGGTGGGCCAATCAAGGGGCTTTATTGGTTTGGTGCGACGGAGTGGAACAAGATGGCGACAGCTCATCTGAAATGTTTTTTACATCTATTTTGGACTATTTGGACTTGGGCTTCATTAGAATCAGGAGCAGACACATGTATTTAAGTTCTTTGTTTAGAAAAAGGATGTATTTTGCCTTCGTCAAGAGTGGACTGCTACTGCTGGACTAGACAGGAAATCACACACAGTTTCAGTGTATAACTCCCGGTACTTTTCAAAACACTGCAGCAATGCGATTTCACGTGTGACCCAACGGCTTATTTACAGCATCGTTCTAGAAGTGCAGCGGTGGGTTTTCATGGCTGTCTTCCTGGCAGTGGAGAGGAGCAACATCATACATGACACCAAAGAGGATATCAAACGTGATTTTGTTCTTTGGTTACTGGCGGATTGCATAAACAAGTCGTGACCTGAAATCTCGAAGGATCCTGTAATCTTGCAAGTCCAGCGAAGAGCACAGCGAGGAAGCCGTGCCACTGCCAAATGGTAGACGGCCTGTATTTGATAAAGCGCCTTCTAGATTCCTGGGTCCCCCAAGATGCTTTACAACACAATCAGTCATACACGCAAAGCAAAGACTCTCCCAGTGTGATTTGAAGTTTGTGATTAAACCGTTCCACTGCCGTTGCACACCCATGATGCTTCCAGTGTGAAACCGGGGTAACTCTTCGTACCCATGTGATTCCTTCTGAATCTTGTTTGTCACATCCCACATTCCATGCTGCCTTCCAAGTCCAGTTATTTGTTACAGTTAGCTGTTCCGTTTCTAATTACTGTCTTAATGTCTTCTACCTAACCTTCTTGTTGCATTGATCATGTTCATGACTGAAGAGACCCAGAGCCACTCGGAGCTAATAAATAAATACATCTAATAATAATGTAACGATTCTGAGTCTCTCAACTTACTCCGTTAGGGGTCTTTTATGTTGACCCCTGTCAGCCAACCCACGCCTTACACTTTCTCCACTTATCCCCAGAACAGTTCATACCAGAGCAGACTTAGCACAACAAAACCGACACTGACAGAGCCGGAAACAACCTTTTCCTCTCCCTGAACTCCCCTTCAACAGAAGACTAATGCATAACATTACTCTCATACCATTACCTCTTCAAAACATTACAATAATAATAACTCATCAAATGAATCTCACAAAACACAAAGTTCCGAGATTTTTATGATTTTTGCGTTTTTTTGCACTATTAACATTGTTGAGAGCTTTAATGTTAGATTGTTACTGATTGTTCCATTTAAGTGTTTCAGTTCTACTTCTGACAGAACCATCGATACTTCGTGTAGATTCTCATTCGTCCTGGACATTACCATCATGAGTTTTAAATGAAAATGACTGAACTTTCCTACTTATCTTGGAGATGTTTCCACTTGTCCAAGAGGCTCCTAAAGCTCTAAACCTTGGGTTGTGAATTAGGAGGCTTCGAAGTTTGAACACTATAAATCATTTTTTCTCTTGGAAAAGGTAAAAACATTTTTTGTCTAAACTAACACAGGCCCTTTAAGGTGATTTTATTTGTCTTTCGTGTAGTCTGTAGCACTATTAATAAAAAATGTATGGCCAATCCAAGTGATTGGTATCAGTGATCTGCACAGGTGATGTGATTGCCAGCCAAAAACGAGATGGTAGCATCATGGTTAGGAACATTCACATGATAAGTTAGTGTCTAACCACTGCATTGAGTTGTGTCATGGCTAATGATATGAATCTGTCCTTTATAGTCTAGGTGGAGACCCGCTGGCCGGAAACATGTGGTTGTACACGTTCCATGTTGGTTCAGGAATGTTGTATTTTGGGATGTAAAATGTTGACTGAGCTACAGATTATTGCTTGTGTTCAGAAATTAGGTTTAATTAGTATTGTCCACTGGCTGGTGACATTTATTTGTTTCGTCAAACAAAAGGAACATTGTGAAAATGTTTTTTTTTTTCATGTGTATTTTTATTTTTCTGTTTTTTTTTTTCATAATGTATTTTCCCTTACTCAGATTTAAAGAAAATGATTGATTCCACTGTACATCAGATGGTCTGGCAGTAGCATTGGAGCTTCTGATGTGTCTGGGTAGAAATCTGTTTGCTGGAAACTTACGGTTAAATGGTAAAAGGCCTGTATTTGATATAGCACCTTCTAGAGTCCTGGGACCCCCAAGGCACTTACAACACAAGCAGTGATTCACCCATTCACACACACATTCACACCCTGGTTGTGATGAGCTACATTGTAGCCACAGCTGCCCTGAGGCTTACTTAAAGAGGCGAGGCTGCCGAGCACTGGCGCCATTGGTACCTCTGACCACCACCTGCAGGCAAGGTGGGTTAAGCCTCTTCCCCAAGGACACAACAACAGTGACAGAGTGAGTGGGGCTTGAACCTGCAACCTTCTGGTTACGGGGTGAACTCAACTTCTGTGCCACCATCGTCACTGATTGTATATGTTTCTGTTACACTCCTTCCTGGCTAAGAGACCCAGGGCGGAGGAACACAAACAAGAGCAGACTATCAGAAACAACAAAGAGAAGGGTTTAGGCCACTTTATAGCTTAATAGTTCATTAAACAGAATTTACAAGAGAGGTTGATAACACGATTTCTAAGAAATACATTTAAAGGAGGTAGGTATAAAAACATAACATACTTATAGAGCCGGTGAGTAAGTTAACCAGGGGCGAGCTCTCAGAGTGCTCACTACAATCAAAGGTGAATCAGTAAGCTGCACTAACAGCCAGCCTTAATCAGAATCAACAGTTAAGTTGTCCCGGTTCACCACAAAGAACTCTAAAGCATCCTGGTCTCCAAAAAACCTCATCAAGTCTCTTACAACAAGCCACCCAACAGCCTCAGAGACACCCAGACCAAATCTGAGCCCTCTCTCAACAGGTGACAAAGGTCTGGTTTGATAGGCTGGCCCATCACGGCCTGATAGGTTCCAGCTTGTGCTCTTGCAGGAAGCTTCTCGGTAGAGGCTGCTCTCCATGGTGCTGATCCTTCAGCAGCAGGAAAATCATCTGGGAATGGCTCCGTGGGCTGCTGGCCTATTCATGCAGGGACCGCAACTCACCGGGCTCGTAAGAGTTTCATATTATTTCAGATTAAACAACGTCTGCGTTCTTTTCTTCAGTCCAAAGACCATCATTTCTGCAACAGCAGAGTCGCATACAGGGAAGGTCACAGAAGGAATAACAAAAAACACAGACACTGCAGAGATCTGGGGACTGGCCAAAGCAATAAAGTGGAGGTCTGTATATTATGCTCAGCATTCTAGCTTAGCGATTTCTACTCATGTTTGAGAGCCAATATAATTACAAAGAATGTAAGGCCCACAGATATCTGCAGCAGGTGAGCAATGTGTTTAATTTCACAGACCTCGTAGACTTGCTGAGCTCATTTTTGGACTCTCAATTCACTCACAGCTCTTCCTATGGTGGCACGTTGATTTGGCTGATATGGTTGAAAGCTGTGTATTACAAAAGACTTTTCACCAAGTAACTCTCATATTTATCCAGTCTTTCTATCGGAGTCTGTTTCCTCTTTGGAACAGCTAGATAGGCTAAAAGAATAACTAAGAAGAAATATAGCTCATCTATCCCAAAAAACATTGAAGAGAAACTTTGACACTATGGGGACCAGAACACATCTTGTAAGGCGAAAGTTTATCAAGTTTCTCAAAGTTGTGACAGATCCGAGTAGGCACGTTCTTTTATAGTAGACTGGAGTTGCGTATGAGATCAGGTGGAATAGTAGTCCTCAATCCCACCAGATAAAGAGGCCTAAGCAAGCAAGATAAACTGCATCCTCGTCTGAGCAGCCTCAGTGTGGATCTTATACTGACAGGAAAAATGATGACCAAAATGATATTACACCAGCTGGCT